AAAATAAAAAAAAAAAAAAACATAAAAAATAAGTAAGAACTAAAAATGGACAGAGACCTGGCTCCAAAGATACAACGGACAGTTAGTACATAAGACTCCAATGTCACTACTCATTAGGGAAGCACAAATAAAACTACGATGAAGACTGGGCGTGGTGGTACACCCTCTAATTCTAGCACTCAGGAGGCTAAAGCAGAAGAACTGTATATTCAAGCCCAGATTGAGAAACTTTGCAAGATCCTGTCTCCAAAGAAAAGGTCTGTGGGTGTGGCTCAGTATAAAGACCCTGGGTTTAATTCCCAGTATTGCCAAAAGAAAGAAAGAAAGAAAGAGCTGAGCATGTGGACACATGCCTGTAATCCCAGCTATCTGGGAGGCCGAGGCAGGAATGGATAGCCAGTTCAAAGCTGGCCTGGGCAACTTAGTAAGACCTATCTCAATAAAAATTAAAAAGGGTTGAGGATGCAACTCAGTGGTATAACATCCCTGGGTTCAATCACTAGTACAAAAAAAGTGACCCCAATGAGGTAGGATCTTACCCTACCCAGATGGCTGTAACCAGACAGACACACAGTAACAAGTGCTGGTGAGGATATGGGGCAATCAGAACCCTTACACTGCTGATAAGCAGGTAAATGTGCTTTGGATAGTGTGCAGCTTTCCCAAATGGTAACCAAAGTTATCACAGGACCAGCAGTTCTACTAGTAGGTATACACTGTATAGAAATGCAAACAGGTCCATGCAAAAACATGCTAAGTGAACATTCACAGCATACCTATTCACAACATTCAAAAAGAAGAAACAACTCAAATGGCCATCAACTGAGGAATGGATAAACATCCACACAAGGGAGTATTATTCAGCCACAAACACAAATAAAGTGATTCCTTAAAAACTAAACATAGATCCGGGGATATAGTTCAGTGGCGCAAGCGCCTGCCTGGCAAGCATGAGGTCGTGAGTTTAATTCCCGGTACCAAAAAAAAAAACCTAAACATAGAGAACTACAGAATCCAACAATCACTCCTGGTTAGGACCCAAAAGAAATGAAGGCAGGCACTCAAACGGATGTTTGCATACTCACATTCATAGCAGCACTGTTCACAATAGCCCCCAATGGAGGCAACCCACGGGTCCAATGATGAAAGTAATTTTTGCTGCTAATTCCAATATTCCACCAGGCTGCCTCACAGTCTTGCAAGTGTGCACTCAGATACACAACGCGCATCAGTTAACCCTCAATGGAATGCAATTCTGACACTTGCTACTACACAGATGACCCTGGAGGACATTATGCTCAGTGAACCAGTCAGTCACCCCAGGTCCAACACTGGCAGTTTCCACTCGCACAGAGTCAGGCTCACAGAGCCAGGGGGAGATGCTGGGTGCCAGAGGGCACAGGAACAGCAGTCAGTTCTGGAGACGGGCAGCAGTGGTGGGTGCACAACACTATAACATACTTACACCACAGAACTGCATGCTCAGAAATGATTACAATGGTAAATTCTAGGCATATTTTGCTGTACTATTTAACTGAGATCAATCTGATGAGATTATATTCTTACCAGGGGGGGTCCTGCCAGGAAAATGGTCCCCTGCTTGCGCACAATGATGTTCTCGTCGGCCATTGCAGGCACGTAGGCGCCACCCGCCGTGCAGGAGCCCATGACCACCGCGATCTAGAGGAGAAGCACAGCCGTGAGACAGGGCTCTGGCCAGGAGGGCAGGCATCTGAGCTCCAGGCTCAGCAACATGCAGGGAGTGTGGACGCTGTGAAAATGCAGTGTCTGGAACAGGTCCAGACTTTTCACACTGAAGTATTTAAAGGCTGGTGTCACACTTACAAAATGCATGAACAATGTTCCTATCAGAGAACAGACTGGCCCCAGAAACCCAAGCAACTAGCAGAAAGAAAAGAAACCCACAATACACCCAACTTAGTAAAATGGCATCAAAAGGATAAATTTTAAATCTAATAATAACCATAAGCCTTCTAAAGAACCACCACTTACCTCACAGGGATATTGAAGTAAGGCTTCAAGTGGGTATTACTAATGTTTGTGTTACTCCAAATACAATACTTTCTAAATACAAATATTAACACTGTAGTTAAAAATCTTGCTCAAAAGCCCAAATGAGCAATCTGGTACCTCAGACAGGAGGATGGCAAGTTCGAGCCATCTGGGCAACTTAATGACTTACCAAGACCCTGTCTCAAAAGAGGGGTGGTATGGCTAGAGATGTAGCTCAGTACAAAGGCCCTGAGTTCAATCCCCAGTACTAGCAGAAAAAAGGGGAAAAAAATCCCAATGTGGGACTGCATGCCTATACTTCAATCTACTCAGCAGACTGAAGCAGGAAGATCACTCAAGTGCAGGTGTTTGGGGCCGGCCTAGGCAAAATGTTTTAGGACTTGTGTTAAAAGACAAACCAAAAAGCCATGCTCAGAGGAAAGTCCATGATGTTGGAGCTGAGTCATATGTACAGGGTGTTCATGGTATTATTTTCTCTGCTCTTATATGATTAAAATTTTCCATTAAATAATAAGCTTTTCAAAAATTCTTGCTCAGAGATTAATACAGCAGAAAGAATAATAAATATGGGTTTGGCTGACTACCCCTAGATAAAAAATATCACCAAAAAAATAAGTATATAATGGACAGCTAAATCATCACGTGAAAGCAATTTTTGCTGCTAATTCCAATATTCCACCAGGCTGCCTCACAGACCTGCAAGTGTGCACTCTGAGAAACAGCACCACACACTGCTCCTAAGCCCACAGCAGACACAGCATGAGCATTCTTCCATAGGAACAGCCATCCGTTCCTTAAATAAAGCTTTTGTGTATATTATTAAAAGTGGCTGCAAGATTTCCTGGTCAGTATATTAAGGAGATACGCATACCTAATATTTTACTTAGTACCCAGAAGTTTGTTTTACAGATATCTAGAACTACAAAAACTCTTGCCAGGCACACAGGAAGCCCTCATCGTGGCATATTCAGAAAAGTAAGAAGATGCAAATAATCAGCATTTCCATCAATACAACATTGTGAGTGGATAAATAAACCCTTAAATGGATAAACAATTTCTTTAAAATTGGAGGCAAAAGTAACAAATGAAATGCCAACATAATACCCCTGGGCAATGGGCCCCTGAGTGTTCTGTCCTATTGTTCTGTGTACTTTCTGAATGTTTAAAATACTGTACAGGCTGGGCATGGTGGTGCATACCTATAATCCCCGACTGAGGCAGAAGGATTGCTGTGAGTTTGAGGCTAGCCTGAGCTACATAAGCAAGTTCAAAGCCAGCCTGCACTACACAGTAAGACCCTGTCTCAAAATAAATAAGTAAAATAAAATAAAATAAAATACTCTATAGGTCGTTTTAAAAGATCCTGCAGGAAGCAAAGGACACAATTTTACCTCATCACCCTGTTCTCTGTACTAGAACACCAGGTTTGGCTCAAATTATTTCTATACCCAAAAAGCAAAAGTCAAGGAACTAAGAGAAGAGTCACAAGCAGAGGATAAAAAAAAATGAAGATATGATGTATACATGCACCAGCTCCCCTGCGAATGCAATCATTATGTACCCCAAGAGACCAACAGAATGTTTAAAAATAAGAAGAAAAGGAAGGAAGGGAAAAAACAAGAGAGAGACAAACAGACACAAGCAGCAGGAAGAAAGGAGATAGTGTTAACCACTGTTTGGTTAACACCAGCTCTCTGGTAAGGGCCACCACTCACGTGTCTGCTGACATTACCTTCCTTTATGGTGGCGTCCATTATTAAGTAATCACACATGTGCACCTAACCTACACCAGCAGGTAAATTATCACTGTTTACTCACTGTCCAAGCCTATAGTTTTCACTCTCAACAATCATTAATGATTCTGGCAATGGTGCTAGCTGTGCACTACAACAGGCCCTCCTGATAACGCCTAGAACTATCTACACACTTGCAGGAGTGCTGACAGAGGCAGCTGAGAGAGGGAGGGAGGGAAGGCGGGCATTATCATGGAGCAGAACCAGAACCGAGGCAGGCATGAAGGCACAGGCCTGTGTGTCTGCTATTTCCTCTCCACGCCCCTCACGTCATCACCACCCACAGTGTGCTGCAGGCTGTAATCAAGCTTCTTTTTCTTCTCATCTGGCCATTTTTACCTCCCCTCCTGGCCTTCCCCTCTCCCCTCATCCCCTTGATACTATCATTCTGAAAGTTTATAAATATTTACCAATACTTATTAGCTCCCTTGTGAAGAAAATATCTTAGTACCTGAATTTAAGACCCTTACTCATGCAAAGAAGCAAGCCTCTCACTAAATGTCCCACGCTGTTTGGGACAACAGTGTTCTGCGGACAGCGGGTCATGACTGGTCCATAAGGGGTACAACACCGACCCTCCAGTGAGGGGAAGAGATGTTAGACCCTGCCCATTTCCCCAGGGCTGGATCTGTGAGCATGCACACTGGCCAGGCTGGCTCAGAGACACATGGCAAAAGGGGACGCCGGGCAGCAAGGGCCAGCAGAGGAGCTGAGAGCTTTTGTCCAGGGGCTCCGTTCTCAGTACCAAGTCACTGAGTGCTGAACAGGTAAGGAAGACAGCAGTGCCCTGGAATCACTACTCAAGGAGAGACCTGCAGTCCACTGACTCCTGAAAAATGGTCTCACATCACCATCTCATATCCCACGGGTAACTCAGGGCATCCTCCATGCAGAACAATGGGCAATGTGTTCCCCCCACCGGAAAATGGAAAGAGTCACAACAATCTAAGCATCTAGGCAAATCGATTTCAAAACTAAGACCTAAAGAACTAACCAGGCATAGCAGAGGTCCATGAAAACAAGCAGAGAGAAAACAGAGAGGGAAGAATAGCAACTGTCAGCAGGTATTCACAGCCCAGGGCAGGGGTGGGAGATGCGGGGCAGAGGAGGCAGGAGGGATTTTGTCACAGCGCCATCCCATCATACCATCTGCGTGGAATGAATGCTTTGCATCTTCACACAGCCATGCACTGACCCCCAGCCTCAGTGGGATGTCATGTGGAGGCTTTGGGAGGTAATGCGGTTACATGAAGTCCAGGGGTGAAGTCTCACGAAGGAGCTAAGAGCCGTGTAACAAGAGGAGACATGCGATGTCCCTGGGCCCTGAGGACCCAGGCATGCTGGTCACCAGAACCACGAGAAACCCACGATTGCTGTTTAAGCCACCCAGGCTATGATAATGCTATGCGACCCAAACTGACCGAGACTCCATGGGTGGAGGGGTGGGACTATGAGGAGTGATCTACCGGTTTAGTAGAAAAGTCTTCCAGAGGAGCAGCTGACACATGATTAACACATCTGTTTCAGGGACTTTCACCACAGTGCTGTGTTGCTTCAGGCACATTCACTACAGCTCCTCTGCAGCAAGGAGCTCAACAATACACTTCTCTGAGACCAGAGACCACATGCTCGCCAAAGGACGGAAGACTGTGACAGGTCACTTCCACCATGGCCCCCGCTGACCCCTCCTGTGGAGTCTCCTCCCTTGAGAACATGGTGAATCTAGCGATTTTCCATCACAAGAGATCAGAGCCAGCAGTGGGGGTCCTTACTTCTGTGCTGAGGCTGTGGGAAGCTGTGTCTTCAGCTGCAGAGAGCGCCCTCGCCTTCCCACCTTCTTGCTCTGAAGTCAGGTGAGGCACTGCAAAATGCTCTAGGGAGAGCCGACACAGCAAGGAACCCGGCAGGACCCCTGAGAACAGTCCAGAAGGAAGGGAGTGGGGCCTGCAGGAAATGAATCTGGCCAACGAACATGAGAGCAAGCTGGGACATTTATGCCTTCCTCCTTGTCAAGCCCTGAGGGGACTCGGCCATGTGAGAGGCCCAGAGCCAAGCCCAGCTCCAACCCACAGAAGCCACAAGATCAGAAACACGGGTTTCCACAGTGCTGGGTTTGGGGATAATTTGTTCTGCAACAACAGAGAGATAACACAGAGATCAAAAATCATCTATTTTAGGTGACTAATGGAAGCACCTCTTAAGACTTGTGACACTTTGTTTAGGAGTACTTTTGTATCGCTGCTTTTCAAATACCTGTAAACGGTTTATTCCAGAGGCGAGAGACAGATCATATATAGGACTGTGCACCATTCAGACAGGGATGAACACTGCAAGTAAGACATGGATAAATCTTGAACCCCTTAGGTTAAATGAAAGAAATCCATCACAAAGGACCACTCAGGGTAAGCTTCCATCTGTGTGAATTGTCCAGAAAAGGCAAATCCAGAGACCAAGGAGATCAGAGGGACTGGGCAGAAATGGGGAGTAAATGTTAAACGGATGAAGAAAATATTCTAAGATTCACTCAACTATGAATATGCTAAGAATTACTGAATTTTACAAATTAAATGGGTGAATTGTACAATAAATGGATTATAGCTCAACAAAGCTATTACACATTTTTTTAGAGTTACTGAATACACAGAAATCAGATGTTTTCATCAAAAAGAAACAAAGGCCCTTCTAATCACAAGTACTTAATGGGCAAAACGTTTATTGCTAAGATAAATCCTGACAATAGAGATAAAAATGAAGTAACAGGCAAATCACCAACCAATTACCAGTCACCGTCACACACAGTCTTTTCATCAATTAATTCTGAGTCACTCATCTACAAAAGTGGACAGAACGGAC